AAGACAAATGTGCCTTTTTATTTCATACAGTTCAATTTGGATTGAGACAGGGAAATAATCTAAACCTAACGCGTGGCGTTTCACTGTCAAGGGGCGCATGTATGTGATTACATTGCAAATACTGATTTGAGCCCCACCACTGTATGGGTTAGCCCTACCATAGATTACCCAACAAAAATACTCTGGAGCAACTGCCGACCCGTATTGCGCATACGCAGATCTAAGATCCAGTAGAAATTATAAAAAAGTTAAAGTCTGCTGCTTATTGTTCTACTAGGCCAAAATAGAGTCAAAGAGTATATGAGAGTGAGAGTGTGTTAATTAATATATTTAGCAGTTTGGAGTAAGTCTGGAGATTTGTTTGTGTGTGTGTGTTTCATGTATAGGCCTCTCACGATAATTAATTTTGTTGGAAATTATTGCGATAAACGATAATATTGTCGGCACCGTTGTATGACCATTTTAGACCACTGACATAATGGTAATATATAATAATAATTCAAGTACATCCTTTCAAACTGCTAGTTCCTATATATATCCTCATGTAAATGGCAATTTATCGAGTTCATTTTTATTTATCGTACGATAAGTCAATTAATTGCTTATCGCGACAGGCACACAATAAAACAGTGGAAACAAACATGTGTTTGACTTTCATTAGTGAATGAAACTGTGTGCCCTTTATAGTCTGTGTCCAATATTGTGTATTTGTATATATCGTATATATATATCCTATATATATGATAAGGTCCCGCTGCTGACACAATAGCAGTCATTTTGTGCGCATATGTGTAATTAAACCCATGATATCAAAATCTCACTCCAGCCAGATACCCAAAGTTGGCAACCCTGTGAATACAGTTAGCCTACTTGATTTTTGTATTCTGATTTCCCGGAATTGAGGTTGGTATGTCTCTGTCGGGTGTCTGATAACACCGTTATGTTAGGAAAACATAGGGAAAAAACTGTACTCGAGTTTCGGGCTATATTCCTTAATTTATATTTGACAATCATCACCCAAACTTTAGTTTTACGTTAAGACTTACAACTATATGTCCGTCAATGGTGGTTGAACCGCCGGGGCCGCCGGTGTAAGGCCGGGCGGTCTGTAAAAGAGTAGGCCGGGTGTGCTACCCTAACCCTGACAACCGCAAAGCCGTTCCGTCCACCAAGTTCACGCAAAAGTGGGGGGTGGGTAAAAAAAAAAAATAGTTCAGAGCCACTCATTCCACGCTCATGGCCTCAGGTTGGGTCTCTCCGTCACCGGAACGCCTGTCATCTGACGCATGACGCTTTTGAGAAGGGACGGGAACTTCTTCTTCACTAGGAAGCAACCACTTCTCAGAACGAAACAAACGCGAAGGTGTCGTCAATCGGGGCGACGCCCTGTCCTTCAGTTGTCTCTCCGTCTGCGACCTGTCAATCCCGGATCTTCGTCCAATTCCCAACATTGCCTTTAATGTAACATTGTCGGCAATGCAATAAGTCNGGCAGTGCACTTACAACTACAATAAGCATGTTAATGTTAATCTAATAGCTCCGGCGATCCACTAGCACCTCCCCCCCCCCAATTTTGCATTTTGAAATGCTCCCGATTTCTGAGGTCTAAAGGTTGGAGAGTATGACCAGGAGAAAGAAGTTTGGGTCATTTTGGAGGCGGTCGAGGAACAGTTTCAGACAAACCTGACATTTTCACTACAGATCTTGGTATCTATTTAGGACATGTTCCACTTGAGGGGGGAATTTTGCTGACTGCAGGCCACATTCCAGTAATCATTTTATAAATGCAAGCTCAGAGATCACATGACCACGAGTCACCGTGTCACTCAGCAGGTTTCACAAGCACAGATTAAACTGTGCCTTGTTTGGTTTTCCTTGATGTGGTGAAACTTGTTCTGGTCACATGATGCTGGAGCTGATGTGTACTTAAAACACACAGCTGGGATCAAAGTAAACTCATGAAACGTTCATGCTTTAAAGTTTGCTGATATAAGAGCCAGTATTTTGATTTTATCCCATGATATCAAAATCTCACTCCAGCCAGATACCCAAAGTTGGCAGCCCTGAAGAAAGGCCACCTAATTGTGACATCTGTAGTCAACACACTATAAAAGACTACAAATCCCACAGCGCCTCCTCTAAAGGGACAGTGATGGGCAACATGTAAGACGATGTTGAGGAACAGTGTTTAACCGTTAAACTACCCTTTAAGTTATTAAGTTATATAAGCCTTATCAAGAAGAAAGAATCCCTAAGTTGTTTGTTATTTTATTTGAGTTTTGCTTATTTGTTTTGACGATTGTAAAGGCCTCTTTTCTTTGTTGCACATGTAAAGGTTTGTTATTTTATTTTTGAGCAAACACATCGCTTAATACCATCCAAACCATCGGAGGCCAAGCAACTCTTCAAACTTTAAGTAACACAAATATAAAGGAAGAAAAGGAGTTCAAACATGTCTGTTTTGACGCGTCTAGTGGCTGGATAGATAAACAAGGAAGGAAGCCGCGATAATGTGGTTTGGAACATAATATGGCGCTTCATTACAGCAGCATTTAGCTGAGAATCTCTGAGCAGGCCTAAGCCGACCTTTAAATGGAAGCAGATAACATTATTTGAATGACTGAATGTCAAATGTAATATTCATGTTACCCAATCACAGTCAAATCCGATGAGCTCAGACAGAAGAGGTAACTGCAGCTTTTTAAAACTATCCTGATCCTTATTTTTAATTCAATCACATCTATTCATATTGTGAAGAGTGTTACTCTGCAGGGTACAGACTACAGATATCCTCTGGGTTTTGAATAATTCTCTCTTATTAAGTGACTTTTCCTTAACAATAATTGTTATGATAAGCCAAAATATTTGTCTTTGACTTGAATATTTGACTGAGGAGTATACTCAAATGAACACATTCAAAAAGGCAGCAAAAGAGATTCTCAATTCCACCTCTGAGGACCTCTCCAGAGATGCATGGTTGGTGGCTGCTTGGAGGCAGGAGTGGGAGCTAGCCAGGCCCTCCCGCATCCATCGCTACATCTGGGACCCAGGAGATGGCGCCATAGGAGGAGACGACCTACCACGCCGGCAATGGACCACACTAAACCGTCTACGAACTGGGGTCGGTCGTTTCAAAACATCAATGAAGAAGTGGGGCCTGGCAGACAGTGCTGCATGCGAGTGCGGTGACCCTGAACAGACTGCCGAACACATAATCACCACCTGCCCTTTATATAGACCACCCTCGGAAGCCAGCCTCTTCAACGTAGGACCAGAGATGCGGGCATGGCTAGACGACACAGAGTTGGACCTCTGACGTTACACGAAAGAAGAAGAACACATTCAAATATAGGACTGCTTCATGCACAGCATTTACAATTTGGCACAGGCTTGAGTGACCATTTTCTGAGAAATAGTCACATCTTGTCACTCATTGAAGGAGTTTTACTGGGTGATGTATTTGTTTACAGTTTAGAATGTATTCAAAGTCCTCTTACATTTAGATTAAATATTAGATATGATACACTGCACACTTCATTATTTTTTTTCAGAGTAAATTACCAAATTATTATTGTACTTATTTATTAGTCACTTTACTTATTTGACTTAAAAAAAAAATAGTGAAAATGCGTTTTTATAATTCTTTATTTGCTCTTTTCTTTTTTTTTTACTTGATCTCTTTCTGTCTTTGTGTACTATGCACCATTATACACCAAAGCAAACTATGTATGTGTCAACCTACTTGGCGATAACCTGATTCTGATTGGCAGATTAGATCTTAGAAAATATAATTGTACAGTATAAAACAGCATGTCTCAAGTCTTAATGGCTCTTCAATAATGACCTGAATATTATTTTAGAACAGACCTGCCAATCAAACATGTAGGCCTACCTGAATATATGATCAATGACTGCCTCTATATGAATGTCTACACCTGTGCATATTTCACTGTATGCCTCTCCTGCTACATGCTACTGTCAGAGAGATACAGCTGAACACCATCAGCATATTGGTCACTGCTGGAATATGGGTGTAAAGGAATGAGCTGGAGACATCTTCCTCACTGCATCAGGATTGTTCTACCACTACAGTCATGAAACAGCAAAAATACATTCTCAGACTAACTTCTTTTAACTTTACAGCTGTACTCAGGCTGAGGCAGACTGTGGATGTCCTGCCTAACAGGTGCAACAGAACTAACAGGAGAGTGACTAAGCACAGAACACACCTGTGTGCATATCAATGACTGCCACGTGCTTCCCTCCACACCCAGAGCATGTGATCTTTACATACCTTCTACACTACTGAATTGTACGCACGGCAGTGGGTGCTAGCAATGAAGGCTGGAAAAGGCTAAGTTTTGGCAGAATTACTGGACCCTATACTGTTGTGCACGCTGCATCAATATTGCCAGTCCACGCCGCGGGCTCAAAGTATGCTAATTGTGAACTTGTGTCAAATGTTGGTGCCTCGGGCTACAGCTGGATCTACAGTATGAGCAGTTTGTAACAACCGCATTCCAAACCTCAGTCACCACAGAGAGAGCCTCGGGCTACAGCTAGCAGCAGTTACATGCTTCATGTTGCTCAGTAATGGCGGGTGGCTCTCTAGGATGGTGATTTCTATGATTTAGTTGTTTTTCAGTCATTTTATAATGCGTAACAAGTAGCTTCTTCTGTGGTGTTTGAAACAATTATAATAGTTCATTACTAGCCTTTCCTATCCTGAGCCTCACATGCTGCTTATTACACAAACTGGAAATTGTAAGATGGTAACACAGAGGGAACTCAAATGTGTCCTTAATATAAGCTCTATGAGGAATAATTTTCAATATGAATTGATACATTAATAGTCCCCAACAAATGAACTTCCTTTATTTGATCAAATCTGCAGTGAACAGCTGTTTAAGGAAATTGACTGGCACAGGTATTTCAGGAGAAAGTATAATAATACTTTTTTTTAATATCTAAAACTTAGATGAAGTATATGTAAACGGTACCTTGCTTGTCCTGTAAGGGTACATCTGTGCGATGGGGAATGTTTCTGGACATTTCTCTATGGACGAGATGAGCGTGGAGATGTTGACGACGGCCGACCTGCTGCAGGACATCTTATCACCTGAGACACAGAGAGACAAACACCTGAATCAGCACATATGAGTTCAACAATACGTTTATTATATTATGATCAATGTCAAACGTAACGTGTGTTTGTGTAGAACTCAAAGTATTTCAGGCTGTTTTCGCTGCATTACCCTTCACAGTAGAGTCCATCTCTGCAGCCTTCTGGAGGAGCGGGAGCAGCATCTGAAGAGAGAGGAGTGTGTGTGTGTGTGTGTGTGTGTGTGTGTGTGTGTGTGTGTGTGTGTGTGTGTGTGTGTGTGTGTGTGTGTGTGTGTGTGTGTGTGTGTGTGGTTTAATGGCCAAGGTGCAGGCGAAACAGGTTGGTTTGTAGTCTGCAATGGAAGACATTCTTGTCTCCGCTTTTGTTTACTAGATTGTCATAGATACATGATGATGTCATCATCAGGGTGTGTAGCTTCTTCTACAATCAATCTTCTGTCAGAGGTTGCAAACAATCAGAAGTGGAAGGAGTACTCCGATTATTTACTTAAGTGAAATAAGCAAAACTACAATGTCAAAATACTCAGCTGAAAGTAAAAGTTCTGCAGTCAAAATTGTACTAAAGAAAAAGTACAAAATATTAGCATCAACAACTACTTTAGGTACCAAAAGTAAAAGTACTCATTATATATTTAAGAACCACATATTTTAATTTTTATTATAATTATTAGTGTAATAATGTGTTAATCACTTCACTGTTGCACTAAATGAATACTTAAATTGTTTCATATTCAATCGGGTAACCTATTATAGTATATGATCATTAATTAGTCGATGTATATTTGATCATCTAAATCAACAAAGAAGCTAGTTACTTATTCTGCGAAATAAATATGCAACATTTGCCTACAAAATGTAGTTGAGTAAAAGTATAAAGTAGTATAAAAGGAAAATACTCAAGTAAAGTACAAGTACCTAGATTTGTTACTGATGTACTGTAGTAAATGTACTTTCCAGCAGTGTAAACCCTGCAGTGGTTTCCTACTCTCATCATGACCACACGCTCACATCTGATCCCCAGAACACAGACCTACCTTCACGAGGAGAAACGGGCCGACCACATTTGTTTCGTACGCCTCCATCATGTCCTTCTTCCCGCAGGCAGAGAGGGGGGCGGGGGTCTCGGGTCTGTTGATGGCAGCGTTGTTGATGAGGAGGTTCAGCCCCCCGGCCCCGATGATCCTGCTCACTGTCTGGACCGCAGAGGAGATGCTGTCCACATCTGATACATCTGCTCAAACACACACACACACACACACACACACACACACACACACACACACACACACACACACACACACACACACACACAATGTTTATTGACATTGTAACCCTGTGTCACTAAATGTGGATTGTATCGTTGTTTTTTCTAATTGCCTGAGTCTATTAGCTTGTATCTCTGCCGATGGATGTGCTTTTGTGTCTGTTGTGTGTCCCTGGTTTTGAATATAAGGACTTTTCATTGTGTATGTGATTTAATATGTGCTGCTATTATCTGTGCTCATGTGCTCTTGTTTGTCTTACTTTAATGCCGTCAGCCTGCCAGGGACTGCAGATTAGCCTTTACATGATGGGCTCAGGTTAATGAATATGTGTCTCCTCTTAAATAAATACATTTAAAACAAATGTTCACACAAACATGACCCAAGCACTTGAAGAGGCAGGTGAAACTGTCATTTTTATTTCTTATAGTTACAAAATACTATATTTATTTACATATTTTCGACATACGTCGTACATATGTCTTTTTTATACTGTGTGTGTACTATGGTTTTTTAATACATGCTCATTGCTGTACTATGAATATTGTTCTGATATGTATTGATACACAACACTATCAGTTTTACATGATATTGTCAATATACTTTGCTTCGTCTATTTTAGACACAAAAAATACATAGTATAGTACATCCAAAATATTTTTGTTGAAAATATGAAAAGAATTACATATTTTTGACATACAATAATGTTTCGTTTGTTTTCTAATTTCGCCATACTATTTTATTTTCTTAAGTATTCAACGATTTTTCAGATATTTTTTAACATACGGTTCTATCACTTTTAAATGATATTTTGATCAAACTATACTATCACTTTTTCAATTTTATTTTTGACAAATTATATTATGACATTATTTCCTGATATTTCAACATACAATATTTGTATATAAATGTTTTTGGGTATTTCACAGATACATAAGGACGTGTATTGTTTACCTAGCTTGACTACAGTGATCTTCCCAGGACACTGAGTGGAGAGCTCTCTCAGGGCCTGCAGGGACAATGAGAGAAAGATACATGATGAGAACAGATACGAGACAGATATACTCCAAACACAACATGTACACATTTGGTCGCAACACAACAGACATTTACTTTTCTTTTGTCTTGTAAAAATCTAATGCAAGGAATGTTGTTGACTGCCGTTTGATGAAACATTTTAAAGCACCACCCAATCACCAAGGGACGTCTCTGAAAGTTCCCTAATCCTTTCAATAAGCCCTGGACAATGAAGCTGTCCACGGGATGGTCACACCCATGAGTTTCGTCTCTTAGCTCGTTCAGCAGCGGCATTTTCCAGATTCAAATTTGGTTCAGCCCTTAAAGTATAGTATAATAGCTTTTAGTTTGTTATATGAAGGTTAAAATGTATATCTAACACTTTGTTCAAAGCCCCCTCTAATTCATCATTTATTGAAAGGGTTACTTATTCATCAACAATCCCTTCAAATCAATAGAGATAGATGATAATTAGTAACACATTGTAAATAACAATTTAAAAAATCTTGCTAATGATGCATGTGTTGCTCCAGTTTTCATTCCAATGTATGTGTGTGTGTGTGTGTGTGTGTGTGTGTGTGTGTGTGTGTGTGTGTGTGTGTGTGTGTGTGTGTGTGTGTGTGTGTGTGTGTGTGTGTGTGTGTGTGTGTGTGTGTGTGTGTGTTTTACGGGTTTTCTGTGAGTGTCTCACCTGAGCCCCCGGCCCCTGGGGGTCCCGGCAGCAGGCGTAGATGTGACCCTCCTCTCCGGGGGTCTCTCCCAGCTGTTTGATCAGCGCCAGCCCAATTCCTCGGTTGGCCCCCGTCACTAAAATGTTGCCTTTGAGTTTCTCTGACATGTTTCCTGATGGGGACGACGACTGTGACTTCAACACATGAGGTGAGGGAATATTCTGTATGAAGAATAGCTTCAAAGCAGGGCTGGATTCATCTGTCTCAGGCAAAGTACTGTTTGGTGTGTGGTATAATAAGAGAAACCAGCTGTGACGATCAGTTGCAGAGAGAGAGGGAACAGCAGTCCAATCTGACATTGTGATGATCCATCGGCCCGGAACTCCCCCTGCTGAACAATAATATGATGTGTATTATCTTTGCTCTTGTGAGGAATGAGTATTTTCCCAATTGTACTTTATATTTGCTGATGCTTATAGTTGTACTTAAGTAAGATTGTGAATGCATGATGTATAACCGAGTATTTCTAACCAGTGATATTACTACCTTTACTGAAGTTAAAGACCAGTGTACTTTGTCTACTACTGATGGTGATAATGACGATAAATGGTAACACTTTGAACTCTTGCTCTTCACTGATTGTGGCGCCAGGTGCAAACTCACACTGTGAACATTTGGAAGCTCTTGCGTAAAACGTATTAAAAAAAACTGAAAGACACATCTTTTATACAACGTTTAAATATTAGGGGGATGCAGTCCAAATAAATTGTGTAATATTGTCATGTTGTAATATTGTGTTATATTGAGAGGCGTGCAGCACACAATGGAGTCTCAGAATGTAGGCCTACCTGTACTACTACTACTACTACTACTACTACTACTACTACTACAACTACTACTACTACTACTACTACTACTACTACTACTACTACTACTACTGCTACTACTACTACTACTACTACTACTAGTACTACTGCTGCTACTACTACTACTACTACTACTACTACTACTACTACTACTACTACTACTACTACTACTACTACTACTACTACTACTACTCAGGGCCGCCCCTGGCCAACTTGCCCCCCCCGACAGGAGTGGATTTTTTTTGGAAGATTGACAGTTTTGTATTTATTCTTATCTAAAAACAGAAGGCCCATATGAGATTTCAAAAGTATTTTATTTTTAAACTCCTTAAGTTTTACATTCACTCAGTTATAATGTGGTAGTTATACGTAGTTTGTTTTAAATTCTTATTGATCACATTATATAGTACATATTTCTTAATTTAATCTCCAGTATATATGAATATGTTTGGTATATTTGTTATGGAGTGGCGAAGTCACGCCCATCTACTTCCGCCCCATGGGACCTTATTTCTGAAAAATGATGCATTGAAGTCAATGGAGAGAGAAAACGTATCTTTCGATCCCGTTTGAATTGTGCCACGAATTACACATATGATGTTTGTCAATCTTAAAAAATCATTGCCACGTCAAGTAATTCCCACGGTGCCTCCTCTAAAGTGACAGAGACGGGCAACCTGTCAGAAAGACGTTTTAATCGTTAAACTACCCTTTAAGTTATCAAGTTACAGAAGCCTTATCA